GCGTGGTGCTTTGAACTGGAATTCTGATAATGCTCTGAGTTATGAGCAGCCAGGCCCGGTGCCACATTTAACTTAAAAGGCTTGGCATTGTGCCTTACAGCCCTTCTCAGGGTTCAAAAAAACCTCCTCAGCACACTGCCCTTCAAGGCGTACTGCTTTCAGAAAACAGTGGCAGGAACCATCTTCATCCTTTATTTTTAATCAGAAACCTAAGTGATACTTTTCCTTTTTTTCCACCACTTGTGTTGCTAAGCTTGGCTTAATTATTACCATATGAATTGTCAGTATAAACTGATATTGAGGGCAGGATTTTCATTTATGTTTACGTGAACATACAGCACGTGCTATATGTGAGTTGCACTTGTCATTCAGTTTACACTCCTACTGTATGTGTAGGAGTACTAAAAATGATGTTTTTGTGTATTTACTGGTGGTGATCATTACACTCTATTGAGAATCTCTCAGTCGTGTATATTTTCACAGGTCCACAGGTTCAGTTATTTGCTTTGGTTGATGCTTTCCTGCAACGTGATAATATGCTACACAGAGTCATGTGACACAGAAGCTAAGAGTAGCTTAGCCCTCCATCTGCAGGATGTCATGATGTTTCTACAGCAGAGATCAGCCTTTACGTTCAACCGTTGGCCCAAGTTTATTTTTCAGAAACGCTCTCTTCATGTGTGGGCTGTAACAGATGTCACAAAGTCATTGTTATCTGCAGTAGATTGATGAAAATAACATAGACTTTTTGATGTTAACTAGGAAGAGGGGTTGTGGCAATGTCCTACTTCAGTGTTGGTGATTTCTGTTTCGTTTGGTTGCACATTTGTGTGTGCAGTTTAATAGATTTGTCTCAGCAAGGTCAGACAAGCAATAAGGATGTAGTGACACTGCAGAGAGATAGCCATTAATGAAGTCACAAGATTCAAAAACATTTCCAAAGGCTGCAGTGCAGTAATAGTTATAATAGTAATAACAAGGTTTGCAGTATACTCACAGTGACATTTAATAAACTTGTGTGCCTGATGGTCGCAGCCTGGCGTCCGGTAAGCCCCCCAGTCTCTGCCCCACAGCATGGGTGCTGACACTAGAAACACCCCCTGTGTTTGTGTGCGTGTGATGATGAACTCAGATAAGGTCCATTCACTAAGTGGGAAATGAGCTCAGCGATCAGCTTTAGCCAACAGTTTGTCTACAATAACAAAGATCATGGTGCAGTGAGCATGACAAGACTTTCTGTAACACGAGACAATTCTTTAAATTACAGACAAAGCCTATGTGTTCCTCTGGAAAATCCAACATAATGTCATGCTATATGTTATGATGTTTTTAATGCTGAAATGCTAGAACGTTAGCATTTTACTGTAGGGTTTCCACTCTGGGGCTTTTATGGCTGCAATTTCCAAGATGTGTTTTGCATCACTTTACACATTACCCCCCGAAGCCAGCATGCCATATTTGGCAGGTTTGGAAACTTTCGGATCTCCACCAGAATTTAAAATATAGTTCTGTAGATTTGAACAGCATATGGCTGCACAGCACAAGTTTGAAATGTCTAGCTCACTGGCTTTCTACTGGTATCTACAAAGACTATGTCATTTTTGAATTAAGAAAAAACACATTCTTCCTCTTACAAATGGAAAGTTGAAGTCAAAACACAGGATTTAGCTCAGTTCAGGGCTTCTGCTGCTACAGCCTTACTCTGGTATGGCCATTAGCTTTTAGTGGCTAATGTTAGTGTAGTGCTGTGTAACTGACTAGAACATTTTTTTTTTATATATATATTATTTTTTATAACTTGTTCTTTGTTTTTTTTTTCATTTGTTGTTTGGCTGTGCTGTATCAAAGCCCAACAAACACAAAGGTTTGTGACTGAGTTATTAAGCGAGTGCCGAAGTTTCTGCGTTGGTCGTTGCTCTTTCAGAATGAATAGGCGCAAACAGTCTGGGGCCTTACACCGGGACACTGTGTCGAGCCTAAACATAAGGCTTTACAGCGAGGCACGGGCAGCCAACTGCCTCCTCTGCAGATGGTTGGCTGTATGCCGCCACTTCCTGTATCCATTTTCAGATTAAAAGTCCTCTAGCGCTTCATATGGTCCAGCCAAATACAAGTCTTGGTGGAGGTTGGAGGTTCTTCAAAAACAAAAAGTTATATAAATGTTATTTTCTTTGAATATATATATTTATATCATCTAGTTAATAGTAAGTTATTATTACATACTGTATGCTTTAATAATAATTTTCTTGATAGAGACCTGATACTTCTGTTGTACGTTTTAATTGTGTTATATAATGCAAAATGCAAAATTATTTTTTACCTGCGAATGCGAGTAGTGTCTGCAGTCTTCTTTCCAAATTCTACCAAGTCAGTAGAACAAATCTGTCTTGAGCAATATACAATAGAAAATATGTTACAAATGTCCCTCTTTTTTGAGTGCTGTCTCTACTTATTTCTGGTTTATTTTCAATTTATTTTGGTTTGGTAAGGAAAACATTAAGTATGTCACTCCCTCAACTTGGTTGCGCTCAATGTTGCTAGCCTGGAAATTTTTCAGACCCTCTGAGCAACTTTAGGTCTAAAAAGCCACTAGTGACTATGTCATTTTCCCCCAGTGGAAGCTATCCTTTTCACTACTACTGTAAAATGTATATTCTAATTGGTAGGTGAGTTTAAAGTCAGTAAACAGTAAGCAACCAAAACAAAATGAGTGGAGAGGCAACTATTATCTCGGGGGAATCACAGACTGTTAAAATGGTCATCAAAAGTCGTACTAGTCTGCAATTTTTCATAAATATCATAGAATTGTGGAAAATTTACTCTATACTATATACTCTCATTTGGACCCCCCTTTAATTTCATGGTTACGGCCTTGTGATCAACTCAGTCATGTCATGTTGTGACAGCAGGACAGTGAGACGACATGGTTTGATTGTCTTTTAGTGTATGAATCAAAGTGAAATAGTATTTGGTGTCAACAGAATTATTATTGGACTTTTAATATTAGTAATATTAGCATCGCCTTGTAGCCCGTTCAAACACAAAGTGTGCTTCTTACCAGTGTCAGTGATAGCTCAATGTGATTGTAGTTTAGTGAATTACCTTTATAGGAAAGTAAATGTATGTTCAGTATCCTGTATCAGATGCAGTGTTTGTGTGTGAGAGTGGCTGAATGATTTACACCATCAGCCTGTTACTATAATGCCTCTTCTATGCGTGAATGCTTTCTAGAGAATATTGTAGGTTAATCAGCACATGAGCAAGGGGTAATTGGAGAGTGCTTATCCTTTGTACTGTGCGCGGATCTGTTTGACTACATGGGTGTGGCAGACTGTAGCACTGCGCTGCAATCATGAAATCAGAGACACACTCCCGGAGACTGTCTGCCTCCCTGCCTCCTGTTTTTCATCTCTTCACCTCCCCTCCACGCTCTCTGTCATTCTGCTTCAACATCCCACTCCACTACTGATGTACTGTCTGTCACTCTGTCTACACAGACCGCCTGCATTCATCCACTTCCAGCCACACCCTGAAATCCTCGCACACAGACACAGACACGCACATGTGCACACACAGCATATTTAGTTCCCTCTCACAGAATCCTCGGTTCTGCTTGATAATGGTCTGTGACTCTAGTTGCGACGGGTTGATTGCAAATTGCTCTGTTTTTGTGGCTGCTGCTCCCCTGGAGGCTGGTGCATGCAGTCTGTGTTTGTGTTTGTCCCAATTACGCTGCCTTTTGGAAAAATATAAACAATTTTTGGGATGCTGACAGCACCCAGTAGTCAGGAGTTACCTCCATGTGCAGTCAGAATAAAAAGAAACTGTTTTTCATTTGTCAGTGGATGTGATCTTTTTCTGCTAATGGTTATAATTTCCACGAAGGCTGCATAATATGGTAAATAAATATGGTATTGTGATTATTTAGATAGATACTGCGATTACAATCATTAGTCACATATACTAGGAATGGTCATTTTTGCGTCACAATTTAAATTTTCACAAAAAAAAAGTCCTGATGGTGTGACATTTGTTTGAGTTTTTACCAAAAAAAACCAGGCCATCTCTGCAGAACTACAGTACTTCACTATAATGTTATTTAATATTTCCACTGGTGATTGAGGCGGGGGCATCCCGTTCCGGTCCCCCCTATTTTAGGCTTTATTTTAGTTTAATTTTCTTACTAAAATCTCTCTGAACATTCTTCTCTTACTGTCCAGTCACACAGTTCAGTTGAGAGAAGAGAGAAAGTAATGTTGATATTCAGAAGCAAGGTTTACATACATTTCCATTTATTCATCCACTGTTATCATGGGAAGCACCAATTTCATCATAATTTATTTTCCTTTAAATATTCTGCTTTGCTTGTAGCTTAATGCAAAGAGTTAACTGTATCTACAAAAAAGCAAACCTTCTTATCAATCAGATATAGTAAATCCCTTGGTTGCGGGCTTGGATTTGGCAGGCTGGTTATTCTTGGCTTGGTGTTGTTTAACTAAGCAGGCAAGACTGTGTTCTCACTTTCTTTCACCCTCAAACCTTCAAATGTTTTCTTATTTTGGCTCTTATTCAGCTTCTGCTTGCTCTCAAAGGGCTTGCCATAGAAAATTTACCCTATTTTACCAGCTAATAACATACAAGCCTTGAAGGGTTTATTCAACTTATCTCTCATTGCAGGGATCCATACAAATGCTATGACACATAAAGCTTCTGACTAATACTGCAATATTTTATATTATTTCCAAAATAACAAATAGCCTAGAACAAGCAAGGTATTAAAAATATGTAATTACTTGTTTAAAAATAATTCACGCTTTTTCTATGCACATTGACAGAGCAACAGCTTTAGTATTTTATAATTTATTTAGTGTCTTTTTAATTACAGACCATCCATGTTGATCTCCTCTGGTTTTCGTGTACCTGCAGTAACCTTTCTCATCAGCTCACTGTGGCTGAGTGGCGTTAACCAACCTGTTCCCTCTCTCTGTGTCTTCCCGCAGACGGATGTTAATGCCTGTTATCTGCGATCAGCTCGGGCCGGGAACCTAGAGAAAGCTTTGGACTACCTGAAGAATGGAGTCGACATCAATATTTGCAATCAGGTAAGCTTGCTACCGTGTAATCCTCAGAAAACAAGTGCACATAATAGTAAGCAGTGTTTGGATAGCACAGTGAAGCTGCCAGTAAAGACTGCAGATCTTAAGGTGTAAAGGAAATTCAATGATTTCTCCTTAAACACATTATACATGTGATAAAACAGTTGTTGAAAATATTCTAAAAGAATGTGAACTATGTACTAAATTGTGGAGTTTGACCGTTTTTCTCTTTTTACCGAGTTTGGGTTCAGGATTTTGTGGGCGCGGCTAAAAGTCATAAGCATAAGCCCGCCTCTAACGCTGTAACAGCATAAAATTGTACTACTAAAACATCAAAACATCCATAAAACACTGTTCTGCAGAAAAATCCAATTCTCCACTGTCCATGGCTAAATACAGTGCTTTCATGTCACACTATTGCCCTCACTGAAACTATAAACTCAGCTGAAAATTGAATATTTATTCAAATTCTGGCTAAATTATTTTATGTGTTGGGAAGTAAGGAAGTACAAATACTTTGTTACTACTTACAGGTATGTGTGCTTTACTTGAGTATTTAATTTTCTGACAACTTTCTACCAATAGATCCTCCTAAATGTCACACACTGGACCTCTGTAAGATATTCTACATTTTTCTTCTTGTTAACAAATCCAATGAACCAACAATGAATTGATCCTACCACTAACAAATACTGTGGTGTGTATTCAAATCCTGCTGTTTCCTTTTCCAGCCTATTCCATCCAGAACTCCACTGTTGTCCAAAAGCTATTAAAAACACATCAGTGATTCCTTCATTTCCTGCAATTGAGTTTGACTGAATCCTCCTCATGTATTAAATCTGCTGCTGAAAATAATCCCCAGTAAACATATTAATTAGTCCGATTTGCAAAAAACTCCAGTGCCGTACTCAGAGAGTATTAAGAGATGGACTAACACGTTGTTGGTATTGGTCTTTTCATGGGATTTGTGGACAATAACAAAAAATATAGAATAACAGTAGCCTAATACTTAAATAAATAGTGTCGTTACCAAATTTTTACAGTTGTTGGGGGCGTATTTTATGTACAACGGTCAGTATTACTAACTAAAAGTGTGAGGATCTATTTAAAGAAGGGTGCAATATATAGAGAAGGTTTAATCTCTCCTCATGTCTTGTTTTTAAAAGCTCTCTGTGAATTCTCTCTCTCTCCAGAATGGTCTAAATGCACTCCATCTGGCCTCGAAGGAGGGCCATGTGGAAGTGGTGGCTGAGCTCATCAAGCACGGTGCCAATGTGGACGCAGCTACCAAGGTGTGTGCCACCCAAGAGTCTCACACACATGCACACACACACACACACACACAGGCACACTGGCTCACAATGTATGCATGAATTCACACACACACGCACACTGTAGTTTGCTTTGTCAGCGCCTTCCCAAAGTCACATTGCTTGAGCAGCACTAAAGGAGATGAATGGCTGTGTGTTAGCAGGGAGGTTGAGTGAACTGATTTAGTGAAAGGAAATAGTCTATCTTGTCATGTGCACGACAGTGTTTACCACATAAATGTTTCTCGGCTAGACGCTATATTTCAATTATGTGACAGTGAAACTCTACTGGAACCAGTAGTGATGTAATTCCTTGCAGTAAACGTATCCATCAAGATGAAAAGTAATTTAATTTTTATAAAGCTGTGGTTGTGTCGCCAGTTAGTTCCTCTTCTGGAGCTGGTTGCACCAAACATTAAAAAATGTTAATATGCTAATGTGAATGCAAAGTAATGTGCTAAAAGAAGAGTAAATATAGACTTACACTGTTGCCAGGAACACAACTCCAAATAAATAATAATGTTGCCTCTATATGCTGGATATGTTAATTGACTCGCTAGGTGAGGAAGCTAACGTTAGCTAATATCCGACCAGAGTAAAGCAGCTAATATGAAATGTGGTAAAACTATCTGATCAAAATGCTGTTTATTAATGATGTAAATTGGGAATATTTTAAATTACATCTCACCAAATTAACACAAAACAAATCTTACAAAACATTGTGATAATAACAGCAGGCTAAATGACTGTTGGTGAACACAGTGCTTAGCATTTAGCAGCTGAAGAACCAGATATTTACTCTGTGAAGTTGTGGATACCAAAAATATAGCTAAAATGAGAGTGAATATTGGACCAGGTATCCAGAAACAGGACTCCAAATGAATGCTAAAGTTGCTTTGTGTCTGCTGGACGTATAAATAGGCAACTGTTTGCCAACAAGTTTACCATATCAGCTTTATAGGATGATAAAATGTCAGTATTACGTTCACAGCTTTTTTCCACTGCCAAAAAAACAGTTCCCGGAGTTTTGAGTGCATATGGACACGTTAGAGAAGGAAGCAGAGGTTGAAACCCCAGTTTTGCACCACTGCTGCACATTCTGATTTTATTCTTTATTCTGGTGACCGTTTATTCGTTGTTAAGTTCAGTAAACATACATATTCAGGCAAGTTCAAGTGACCTGAGTTGTTGTACAGATAAAGAGGAGAGGTGAACCCTTAGAGGAAAGGGAGATACAGGAGTTCAGATTCAGGAATGAAGGGAGATTTATATATGTGGAGTTTCCAGTGGCAGCAGGAATGAATACATGGTAACAGCTGCTGCTATAGCTCACACACATGCAACAGGTGCATCCATTAGAGCAGTAGTTCCCCAAGCTTTTCCCTCAAGGGACCCCTTTTCTATCATTAACTAAACTGACAACCCCTGACTAAATTAAATATCGGATGGATATTTCGCATTATAGTCAATGCAATGCATATCAGTAACAGTAGAGAACAACTGTAAAAAAGTGAACACATTATCTGCAAGAAGTTTGTGTAAAATGTGTGATTTGGATGAATTTCGAGCAGATTATTTCCTGTAAATTTTCTGTCTCTTTTGTATATTTTTTAATTTTTTAATTTTGATAGGCTGTTTTTTGACGAATTCAGTTCTTTTTTAGTTCTTTTAGCTCTTTGGTTTTTGGCCTTTTTACTGCAGGACAATGAGATATAGGGCTGTTATGTATATTTTTAGAGGTTAGAGGTTCAGTATATGCAACTCATTCTCATACCAACTCCGTACCTCACTTTTTTCAACAACCTGTCCTTTTTTTGTTGTTACCCCCCCCCCCCCCTCCACTCTCCCAGCCTTTGATTCACATGGACAGAAATGTGTTGAAGATAATTTAATAAGTTTCAAATGTTTTTCCTTCTTTTTCCAAACAGAAAGGAAACACAGCCCTCCACATAGCTTCCCTTGCTGGGCAGACAGATGTGGTGAAGGAACTCGTCACCCACAGTGCCAACGTCAATGCACAGTCCCAGGTAAAGCAACACCCACACACACACACACAAAGCTGTCCAAGTGTGAAATTATCTTTGTTGGAAATCCGTATACAACTATTGTACACACTGTGTCCGTGTGTGTGTGTGTGTGTGTGTGTGTGTGCTGACGGTTGAATGTGGGCCAGGAAGCACTGCAGAGCTGCTGACACAGCACACACATACACACACAGACACTGCTCTGGTCACCACAGCAACCATAATAATGTCAACGTCAAAGCCTTGAGCTGTGGAGATTAAGTTGCTATTGATGAGCTATAACCTTGGTGCTGTACTGAAACTCATTCAATCTTTAGTTTCTAAAGTCGAATCTTTGTTTTTTTTTTTGTTTTTTAAGCATCAGATTACAGTACACAGGAAAGAATATATCAGGGACAGCTCATATTATAAATTACATATATACATTATGTTATGTATATTACTGTGCTGTATTACTTTGTATGGATTAAACAAATGAGAAATAAAGTTTAAAATCAAAGGCGCTGGTCAGGGTTATTGTAGTTAACTAAAACTAAACTAAAAACTAAAACTAGCTGTGAATACAGAACATTTTTGTTAACTGAAATAAAAATAAAAAAACGATGAAAAAATAATAATGGTAACTAATAACTAAAACACTAAAATTAATAAAAACTAAACTGAAATGACAAATCTATAATAACTCTGGTGCTGGTGACATAACCAAGCTAGCTCTTTCACCCCTGCCTCTTAATGCTAAGATGAGCTTCTTGTTATATCTTCAAAATCACTTTATAGACACAAAAGTGGGAAGGGAAAGAAAGGGAAGAGGGTTCCCTAAACTATTTCTTTAACATTGGAAATCACAGTCTCTGACTGTATTTAGTTATCCAGTATATAAAAAGTGTTTTGTGAAATGTGCTGCTTAAAAAAGATGCTCAATTATTCACAAAGGATTGCAGTCTTTAATCCGTAGTTTTATTGTTTTCTTTAAAGCTCATAGTTTTAAATACTCACTGTGTCCTTGGCCATAGTTGCATATTTACTGTGCGGTTTAAATCTTATAATGTATGAGAAAGTGTTTGTGGAGGACCAAAACTGCCAAACATAGATGGTAAATAGATCCATATAATAGTATAATAAAGCAGAATTTTGTTTTAAAAAAAATAAAAAAAATAAGGAAATACAAAAAAATAAATGTTTGGGGAAATAAATGGCGGAAAATGCTAAAGGTAAGGTTAATTGTATTATTATTTATTTTATACTTTTTTGCATTTAATAGCATATGAATGTACTTTTTTGGGGGGCGGGGTGGATTTTGGCAGTCTTGGTCCTCCATAAACTATAAGAGGAGAGCTGTTGGTGCATTGACAGCAGTGTAAATACAGAGAAGAGTGAGGGAGGAGGAGGAGATTTTTTGCATGCTGAAGTGATTTTTCGGTCCTTGTGTTGCTATGGAGATGTGTTTTCTCGGCATTGTTCTAGTGTTGCACCACACACACACACACACACACACACAAACACACACACAGAGACCTTTTCAGCTCAGATCAGCTTTTATCTGTGCTGTTATCAGGTGTGAGGTATGTACGGAGGTGACAGTATGTACTCAATGATAAGTCCGCTTTAAAAGTACATTCAGTTGCAGAGTTCAGAAAAAATGGGGACGTCTGTTTTTGGCTGACCCAGTAAATTAAATACCTGACAAATCAAGGTACTTTATCACATTAATGCAAAAATGTTGTAAATCCAATATTGCCATGATGCAATCCTGCTTATTGATTCTCAACACAGGCAGCAATCACCTAATGCAAGCAGACAAACCAATAGGACAGATCTTCATAGTCAGCTTGGCATTTATTGTTTTTTTTTTATACAGGAACATAAGTTTTGTTCTTTTGGTTTTGATTTCTGGACGAGGTTGAGAAGAAAAGCTGTTATAATATTACTTTTGAAAAGAGTAATGAGTAATAAATAAAAAAAATTTGAGTAACAAGCCCAACACTGATTATGAAATACTGGTAGTTATCTTAAAATTCTGAGTAGGGGCGTTCCCTAATAGGGGGCTGGGGAGGCACTGACCTAATGCATCTATTGGTACCAACCAGGCTGTGCTAGCTGGAACAAAATAACGCTCCAAAAATAGGCATTTTAGCAATTAAAAAACTGGCATGGCCATTTTCAAAAGGGTCGCTTGACCTTATTTATACCAGAGGCAATGTTTTGCATGTGGTATAACTGTGTTGTTTTTGCCTAGTATGTGAATATTTCTGCATGCCGGAGTCCCTAAACAGTACTGGAACTGCATAAATTGGGTATGACTGGAAAGCTCAGCCACATGCTTCATGCCACCCCTGCATAAGTCAGTTCCCAGCTTGCGCCCCCTCAAAAAAGTCTGGAAATGCCCCTGATTCTGAGATCTGTTTTTTTCTTCGTTGAATGCAGTGTTCCTCCATAGATTATGACTTCATAGAAGATTCAATAATGTTCAGCTTCCTTGAGTAGAACAGAGAGGAGACCAACACCATGCTCACAATTGCAGGTCTGATTCAATGTTTTGTTTTCCAGAATGGCTTCACTCCGCTGTACATGGCGGCGCAGGAGAACCACATGGATGTGGTGCAGTTCTTATTGGACAACGGCTCCAGTCAGAGCATCGCCACCGAGGTAACGAGCACAAACAGATGCATACACACTCTACGCCTGTTTGCACACACACTCATGAGCCCATGACAGCTTCTAATAGCTACCCTTTATCCTGGCCCCCGTTTAGCCTCGCAGTAATTACACTGCAGCATTATGACTGTTACGGCCAACAGATTCCTTGTTGCAAATGGTAAATAGGTGCCTGCCAGCATGCAGCGGATCCTTCAGGATGCATATGAAGGCATTGTTTACTATTATGCAAGGGCTCAAAATTAATGAAAGGTCACTGTTTTCATAGATGAATCTGTTGACTAAATGGTAAAAAGAGTGAATAGAGGTGAAGGAGGGAGTCAGCAGGAGAGCCGGCGACAGCAGCATGGCGATGTTTTCATTCAGAGTGACCTTGGCTGTCTTCAGCTGCTACAGAGGGAGGAACTAGTGCCGTTACAGACCATCTGAGGCGTGAGCGAGTGTTACCCTGCCAGCGAGTCAGTACAGTCCATCATCTGCTGTAGTACCGGCAGACGGCCAACTGCCACTGAAGTGTGACAAGCACATCCTCATTCCGGTCAGACCCCTCCGTCTAAAGAGCGTTTATGAGACCAGACCATATGTAGAATTTACAGCATTTTTTATTCAGTTAGATTTTCACATTGTACTTTAGTGTTATGTGTTCTGTGGTGTAACAGCAAGTAAGGGATCATGTAACAGAGTCACAGGGTTGATCATTTCCATAGTCCAGCAGCTACTGTCGGGCTTTTGGTCTGGTTTTAAAATTGTAATATTATTGACAATATTGATACAGTGCCAACACCATAGCAATATTTCCAAATTTCTTACTTTGCAGAATCAGTAACAAAACCTTTTTTTTTTTATTAATGCTAGCACACTATTTTATCTCTAACATGACTTATCTGTTATTATTGTTGTAGTCTAATATTTGCCAATTTTTTATTTGAATTAGGAACTATCTAATCAAAAAATAAATAAACAAGATTATGAACAACTTTCTGCACTTGGCTGTGTACAGTTTTCAGTACTTGGTGCTATGGACACATTTCTGACAAAAAAGCAGCCTGAATTTTGAAAAAGAAGTCACCAAATCCTAGCCTTTTTTTAATGATTTGATTAGGATCCCCATTAGCTAATGCAGAATATCAGCTACTCTGGGGTCCACACAAAGCATTAAGAAAACAAAAACATAACAAAAACATGATAACAGATAAGATATTTACATTCAAAACACTACATATTAAAGTATTTTTCCTTTAAAACATATTACTATACACAACTTCTTCATACATTCTTCTAAATATTAATTTACACTGAATTCATAAGCACTGAATATACATACAACATAATTATATACATATTGTCACACTTCTACAAAAAGACGATTGATTCCATACCCAGTCTGTGACTCTCAGCCGTAGACTTTTTCATTCCTACTGAAGAAATACATCTTTAAAAGCCGCTCACATAGATAGTTTAATTGTATTTAGGGAAGTGTCTTTCGTTGTCTTAATTAAATAATCAAATCAAACCAGAAAACAGAAGTAGCTACACCTGCTGTTTTCTGAATATACAATTAAAGCTGCATCTATTTGTACATCAGTGTGGTGTACTGGTTTACAGAGCTTTGTCTTTGACAGTTCATTTTTCTTGTTCCTCCTCCTCAGTTCACCTTCTCTTTCCTTCCTCCTTTTGTCTGCCTCTTTCTCCTCTCACCACATATCGCCGTTCTCCTTCTTTTCCTCCTCCAGTCAGAGACGGAGTGAATTATTCATGCGGGGAAATATATATCCATGTTTGAAGCAACTCCCGGTGTTTAATAATTCATATTTAACCGTTTCAGTAGAGCATGAGGCAGAAGAAATCAGAGCTCTCCCCCTTTTTGTTTATCGTTTATCTGCATATTTTTTATTGCATTTATTGTATTTTTGGGCTTTAAATTACATATTTAAACTGTCATTGTACCACAGTACAAAGTGCAAAAATATACAGCAGCAATATCCACATTTGACCTCAATATTTTCTTTATGATTTGAATCTACACTTTTAAGTATATGAATATGAATTTGCAGTATTTATGTTAGCAGTCCTGTTACAATGAAAATAAGTTGTCATGTAATATGTACATAGCGCCATACTTTCTAATTTGTGTGACTTAATTTAAGGTTTTTAGCTCATCTTGTTTCAGCGAGGCAAAATTATGCTGTCTCACTGTGAGTTTTAAAGCTTGAAGATAAAGATCAAAAGCCTTCTTTTAGAGCCTTTGTTGTCTCTTGAAGTATTTTTAGGACATTAAGCGGACTTCGTGTCTTTTCCTGAATCCATAACGAGGCAGATGAAACAGGAGGGTAGTGCTTTGGGATGGCTTATGACTTTTAAAAATTCTTAAAAAGACAAAATTTATGCATGCTTGTGTGCCGGTGGGTGTGGGTATCTCTGTGTTTGTGTGTGTCTTGCGGAGATGCTTGCAGATCTGATTATGAATGTGTGTGTTAGCGTGCATGTTTGTTTGTTTCTCGCCGGTTGCAGTTTTGTGTGTGAGCTCTGCAGGATCTCTGCGGGGACGTTCTGCTTTGATGTGTGGGTGTGTAGTGATGCTGAGTTGGTTTTATGCAGACAGTCGACGTCCTGTGTAAACATGCGCCTGTGCAGTGTGAACACACACACACACACACACACACACACCCATCCTTGTCTTTGATGATTCATGGATACTGCTGCTAGTAGCCTCTGCTGTGTCTCTCATTTATTATATTGAGTGTGTGAATGCATACGCGTAGATGCGTTTCTTCTTGTTTGCCTCTTAGTTTGAGCTAAATTTCCTTTCGATCTGTCCTTGAGAGACACTGAACCTGACACTGAGCACTTAAACAATCTTTAGTGCATTAGCTAAAATGCCTGAATTGCCAAATGGATTACCCTGTGCTTGTTAAGCCCCTCTCAGACATGCATCCCTTTACGTTAATCTGATGGCAATTTAACATCTCATGACTGAATAAGCACCCTGGTCACTTTCACGTGAGCTGCCATTTAGTATCCGTCTGACTGTTTCTGGTGGTTCACAGGATGGTTTCACTCCTCTGGCGGTGGCGTTGCAGCAGGGCCACGACCAGGTGGTTTCCCTCCTGCTGGAAAACGACACCAAGGGGAAGGTTCGCCTGCCAGCGCTTCACATCGCAGCGCGGAAAGATGACACCAAGGCCGCTGCGCTCCTCCTCCAAAACGACCACAACGCTGACGTGGAGTCCAAGGTACGCTCTCTGTACGATAGGCAGGACTGCATTTCCCACCATTCCCTGCTGCCAGAGAGGAAGGGGTTTTATTCTGTTTAAGATACTAACCTGCTTATATTCCTAGCCCTATGATACCTTCTGGGAACTATTGGCATGACTTCAGGTTACCTCTGTCACTGAACCGGCGTCGGCGAGTTAGCGGTGTGCTATAGGTATAGGGAATAAATGTTGGAACATATAAGATATCACATGTTAATTAATTTGCTTTTTATGTGCTGGTAGGCGGGTTTTGTTGCCTTTGTACAGGCTAACTGTTTCCACCTATTGCCAGTCTTTGTGCTAAGCTAAGTTAGCCAGCTCTAGACATGAGAGTGGTGTTGATGTAACTCTCTGCAAGAAAGCGAACACAAATGTTTCTTAAAATGTCAATTTTTTTTACTTTAAATGGAATCATGTTACCTTACCTTTGCCTTTTACTATGGAAGGACGGGGGGGAGTTTAATTATCTTAACTTAGTATCCCTCAAAGTCCAGATGAGTGAAAACAGGAGCTGCTAAAATTGTTGAGTCGCCTTCAGTTATTACAGTACACTACTCAGCGGTGAGTAATTGGCTTTGTTTTGCCCTGTACACTCTGTGTTTTCCTAAAAATGAATAACATTAATCAACTATTAAATATTAAATATGCCAACAGAGGACTGTGCTCTTAAAGAAGTGGTTCTCAAACTGTGGGGCATAGAGCCACTGCAGGTGGGGCTTGGCTGACCAGAGGAAAAATAAAGTTGTGAAACTAAGTTCAATGAATATGATTTATGCTGGGAAAATAAATGAACAAGAGTTTGCTGATTTGTGCTGACCTTTATTTCACTAAAATGGGGGCATGTCAAAAAAAGTTAACCTACATCTTCGTCTATTTACCCAAAATCGTCGTAAGAGAAGGAAACACACATGTAGCACTCTCGCAAACACCGGTTCAGTGAATTTCAGTGAAACATTTTCTGCCATTATGTTTTTTTATTGTGACCTTTATCCCACTTTTTGTTGGTCTGGAATATAGATTATAGAATAATAAGATTAAGAAATCATCAGCCTTAAACATGTTTTCTGTAGCACAAAAATACAACAAGCGTTCACATTTTAAATAAAAGTCTTTACATGTGTCACGATCTATGTACGACTCAGAGAAAGAACAGGGAAGTCTTCTTTGTCTATCTTTGTTAGTTGAAGACACTAATACAGATATGTTGTCAGTGTAGAACATATAACAGACTATAAGGGAGAGTCTCAGTCCATTATCCAGTTGTGTGTTTCCTCTGTGTTTCAGTTGTTTTCATTGTCTCCGACTACATTCTCATGTACCCATCATACAGCTTCGTGCAACCATGGTGTTGGTGTTGCTGTTGTAGTTGTTGTGGTGCACTAACCACCCCATTCTCTCCCTCCTCCTCCTCCTCCTCCCAATATTCGTTCCTCTTTCTTACCCTACTGCTTCCCCCGTTTTCCTTTTTCCCTTCTAGATGATGGTGAATAGAACAACAGAGGTACATCTTCTCTTCTGTTCTCTTCTGTTCTCTTCTTCTCTCTTCTCCTCTCCTCTCCTCTCCTCTCCTCTCCTCTCCTCTCCTCTCCTCTCTTCTGTCATTGTTCACTCACAGTCACCATTTGCAAAGCCAAAGCCTTCTGTCTGCTAGCATGAACGCTAAATGCTGGCATGAATGCCTTTGCTGCTGACAGCTCCTCACCTGTGTGCCTGTTTTTTAAGCCTGCATCGCATTTCGACTTCCTGCTTTGTGTGAATCCAGTGGCTTGCTGCTTTTGGTCAGAGATGAAATAAATAACAGTAGACATATACCTAGATCTTTTAAAACCATTTTCCCTTCATTATGTGTAGACTAAACTAGATATTTTAGTGTACTGTAAATTCTCATGTAATAGCAGGGGGCCAAAGCCAGCACTAATTCCATCAGTACAACAACAGTCATGTTATATTTACCACTTTTGCTCTTCTGGTTTCTATTGTGTCCATTTTTAGTAGAAAATTACAGAGTTTTTAGTTTGAAACTCTCCCAGTTTACTGCCTTCACCGTCATGAGCCAAACTGAAAGTCATATTCAGGGGTGTTTTCAGACTTTTTTGATTGGGGTGGCATAAATGGGGCACTGACTTATGCAGGATTGGCATGAAGTATGTATCTCAGATTTCCATTCATTCCCAATTTATGCAATTACAATAGTGTTTGGAGACCCCAGTATGGTGTAACTATTTAAATACAGTAGGCTATACAAATTGAATACATTACATTTATACCACGTGCAAAAAACTGCATGGTTTTTGTCCAAAAAATGCATGTCTGCAAAGGGGAGACTCATGGGTACCCATACAACCCATTTTCATTCAGAGATCTTGAGGTCAGAGGTCAAGGGATCCCTTTGAAGGTTTTGAACCCTATTTTAAACATAAATACCTGTTTCATACACACATTAATTCCAGTTTTACCAACCAATATTAAGTTGCTGTCAATGAAACTCAGCACTACATGTAGATTTTTTTTTTTTTTTTAAATCTTCCCAGTAACTGGATAGAAAGAATACTTTGTCTGCCCGAATCAGCTGGAAGTGCTGAGCTGCATTCACTGTTGAGTTAAAGTTGAAAAGACTGGAATTAATTAGTGAGAATGACATGACTGTTGTTGTTGTGATGGATTTACATAAATAATACGGAATTTATCGAGACAGCAGGTAAACAAGGAAGAAGTTTTGAGTTTGCATTAACTGGGGAGCCGGTAAAATAAGAAATAAAAGCCTGTCTCTAATATAAACCTGTTCCAAATAAAAGCCTGGCTCTCTGCCACTGAGGTAAATAAAGGCCAGTTTTTAAGAGTATTTGAGAGACATAGTAGTTAATCTTATCCAGTGGAATAGCTGCTACAGCAAAAAAATCAAAAGCCTAATTTACATTCAAATCGATTTAAGGATTTTTCTTCACAGACCTCCTGAAGGTCTAACACATAGTGTCTAGTGCAAAAATATGTATAATATTTCAAGAGACTTCATTCCTGATGCATTTTCCTGCTATCCACTTCTGGATCTATCATTAAACAGTACTACTGGTAGATCTCAGTTGTTACTTTCTGGTCAAGCTGCAACGTGTATAAGCTGGACATACTACCCCCTGTCTTTAAATGTTATTTTAAACCTGACTATACTCTCAGCTAAGCCCAGCCTTAATAAAGACGTACTGCTGAGCCTTAAATGAATATTTGGACGTTTTTGGGAAATACTCTTATTTGCTTTCTTGCTGTGAAAAATCAATATCACTCTGATATCTGTGTGGTAAATATGAAGAAAAAGCAGCAGTCAGTTAGCTTAGCTTAGCATAAAGACTGGAGACATGGGAAAACAACTAGCCTGGCTCTCTCCAAAGGTAACAAATTCTGCCTGAAAGCACCTAGAAAGTTCACTTATTAACACATTTTATCTTGTTTGTCTCCATCTGCCTCACAATGAGGATAAGGATACAGGAAGTCCCTAACTTTCCTCAGTTTTTTTTGTGCTAAAGCTAAGCTAACCAGCTGCTGGCTGCAGCTTCATATTTACAATATAGACATGAGAGTGGTATTGATCTTTCTGCAATAGCACAAATAAGTGAAAATGTTTGCCAAAATTTGAACTATTCCTTTAATATCTTTGTAGAAGAAACAACATTTTATAATAATTATGAACTTGAATCATAAAAAGTGATTTTCTATCTGTATGGTTTGGCCAGAAAATGACTGGTGCGCATTGCTCGTGAGTGCCACATCATTTAACCCTCACCCTTTAGGTTTTTGTCCTCATTTAATGTAAATGGTTCAGTACTTGTCTGCGTTCCTCTCATGTCTTGGTATGATCAAGAAACATTAAATTACGTATTACCGTAGAGCCAGCTAACATGGCAGCCAACATGACGCAAGCTGTGTCAGGTTGCAGTGCATTTTATTCAAAGCAAGAACTCACCGCAGAACATCAGAGTTTGCATCCGCTAGCCTTGTTGTCTTTGGCTGTTTCAGAATATACTAGTACAGGTTTTTATCTTTTCCCCCTTGACTTCTCTTTTCCATTCACAGTTCTGTAATGTGATCCTACTCGAGTTACAATAATATTTGTGACATCCAACTAGAAAAAAGTGCTATTGTTCCTTGCACTGCTTGAGTGATTGCTTTTGATGCACATGGTCTTGAATATTAGATTTATTCCAGTGTCGTATATCCTGCAAATTGCTAATGTCTAAAGTAGCATAAATTAAATTTGGTCGCGCACAGGATCATCTGTCTCTCATCCAGCTGTCAGTGAGAGGAAAAACTGGCTGAAGTGGAGCTTTAGCATGCCGATAGATTGTATTTAATTGCGTTTTTTAACAAACATGAGCCTGACATTGTGCTGACTGTCCTGTGAGATAATGCTAATTACTGTCACTGTGCCCAGAAAGCGGTTTAATCCACTTTCAATAGAACAGCTCCTTGATTTCACTCTCAGTGACATGATCAATAGCATGTTGACCTTTCCTGTTTGATGCTTTGGAAAAGTTACTTATTTGCTTATTTTTACCAGTTAATACTGATCTAATTATGGTGTATTTATGTGCTGGATGAAGAGATTTGTCCTGGTTACTTTGACATCTTAATGTTTTTTTTTACCTACTGTTAGGCCTCTGAAGTGATGGCGTCTTTAAAGCAGCCTTTTCAGAACTATTAAATCGAGGGGTGTAAGAAAATATTGGACACTATTGTATCGCCATATTTGTTTTGTGATATTATATCGATCCTCAGAA